ATCCATTACACACATTCTAATTCACTTCCACTATACACACCACAATCAGTCCTGCATCATTGTCAGCAGACTAGGTAGGGCGTGGGCGGGCCCAGGAGGGTCCCCAGACCTTGTGCTTTATCAGGGGCCCCAAAATTTCTGATGGCGGCCCTGACTAGATCTAGTGAGTTTAGTTAAAGCCTCTGTCTCATTTACCCCTTCCCCTCTGTGTCCTCCCAGCCCCTCCAGGTATCTCTCTCCCAAGACCTGGTCTGTGTCTTTTGCCCCTTTCCACAGCCCCTCTGTGCAGTGTTAATTTTAGCGGCAAATTTCCAATCAGTTTTATTCATAGCCTTTTGACTAAAATGCCATATTAGTTTTAGTCGTATTTTAGTCATCTGAATTGCTTTTCGTTTTAGTCGACTAAATCTCAAAAATGTTAGTCGACTAAAATTAACACTGCTAGGAACTGAAGCAGTTAAACCAGTTTTGTTTTCATGTGTAAGGCTTCTATGATAGAGCTACCATCCACTCCTTGGATAAATAGACACTTTCAGTCATATGACATCAGCTGATCTCATATGATGCCGAAAAACAGCCCATTTCCCAAAGGCAACATCACATAACATGCTCAGCTGACTGAAGGTTGATATCCTCCTTGGTATCTGTAACTGCTAACTCGACCCCACCACTATCAAGCCGTGTAGGTCATTTTTTTTTCTTCAAATCAATAAAACTTAGTAGGAGAGATGCAGCAAATTGTCACCGTGTCACAATACATTCATAAGAAAATTTGCAGCTGCGCATGAAATGATTGGCATTTGAAAAATAACCAATGTGACAGCTGTGTCCAAAATAGTGGCCGTGGCTTATTTCTGGATTTTGACAATCTATTTCTCTATGAAGAAGGTCATGAAATTGTTTATCTTTTTAATTCATATATTTATTGCTCATACATTCAAAAACATAAAAAAAAATAAACATTGTCACAATTTAGGAAGACAGACAGACTTGCAGATAAGGGCTGTAAGATGGACATGTACATTTGGGGCCAGTGGTGGATATGAAAATAGAACATGAAGCTGTAAATATGTTGTGTGCAATGTGGACATAATGTGTATACATTGAGTTTTGTGGTGGACACACTTGGGGTGTAAGAATTGTGGATATGGTGGTCGACGTGGGGTCTGATGTGGAAAAACTGGTGGTTTTACAAGGTTTTGCCTGTATACGTGAAGAGCATTGTGAACACACACGATATTGGTTAAACACTTTGTTGTTATTATATGTGGTTATAAAGAACTGGATTGTAAGCTTGGTGACAGGACCAGAGCAGTTGACACTGTACGAGCTTGTCCAGAAGTCCTTAGCACCCAATCAAGGTTTCAGGTTAAGTCTCTGTCCTGTAGACATTAGGGGCAGATGTGAGATTATTGCATTCTTGATTTCAGAACAAGTCTCTGGTAGAGATCGATGGAGGGCTTTCTATGAACACATGTTTAGCACTGTAGATATGGTGTGGGAGATGTTAGGAGGATATTTCCTATGCACTAGACATATCCCCGGTGTACTTCAGGGTCTCAAGCCATTCATTGTAATGCAGTGACCTGAGAAGGACACCTGATTAATGTGTTTCAAGACTGCACTATTTAGCCAAGAGACATATTGTCAATTGTATGTAACACCTCTTACATTATTTGCTTATTTCTGTAACACCTCTTCTCACTGTCTCCCCAGAGGAGACCTGCTTTATTAAAATGCAAATTAAAATGGAATTTTAAAAACTTACTCTAAATAGTCTGTAGATGATATGGGCAGATGGGTAAGTGACCTGCCTTGTGCTGTGTGAAGAGACCATCTGCAAACTGCTTTATGTATATTTTCATATATGGAGTATGTTTGAGAAATGGAGAGTTTGATGAGCTAGTTCCTGTTTGACTTTGGCTAAAACTTTGAATTTTTTTTTTTCTTATTCGGAAAACTTTTCAATGTTACATCAAGGAGTTTATTTAATGAATACAATACCTTTTTATTTCATTTTCATACTTCTGCAAACCATTCTGAAGCATAAACACAAGCAATGTATGAATAAAATTAACCAAATGAAGTCAAGACGGCTTTTGTAAAGATTTGACTCCGACGTTAAATAGGCTATAGCTGTGCTAATACTCTCTACTATACCAGGGATATTAACCTTAACTTATGGGAGTGGTAATAATCTTAACGTGACATGAACTTTTTAAAGGACCACTATGGGCACCCAGACCACTTCAGCTCAATGAAGTGCTCTGGGTGCCAGGTCCCCCTAGTTTTAACCCTGCAGCTGAAAACATAGCGGTTTCAGAGAAATCACTATGTTTACACTGCAGGGTAAATCTAGCCTCTAGTGCTGTCTCCCTGACAGCCACTAGAGGCAGCTTCCGCGATTTACACGGAGTAAATCACACTTAGTTGACGTTGGACGTCCTCACTGAGTCCAGCACCAAATATGATTCCCATAGGAAAGCACTGAGTGATGCTTTCCTGTGGGTGAATTTGAATGCGCCTCTGGCTGCGCATGTGTGTTTGGCTCCACTCGGAAGCTAACGTAGATAGAGGAGGAGAGGTCACCAGTGCCGAGGAAGCCTGGCGCTGGATTAAGGTAAGCAAATGGTTAACCATTCGCAGCGGAATGTATTATTAGCTGGATGTATTAGAGCCTGTTGGCCTTATTTGTCGCTGGCAAATGTATGCCAAATTTGCTACATACTAACTGGCATTATTTTGCTGTAACCCCATTTAGTAAAAGCTTCCATTCTGAGCGCAGGATCTCCATAGGAAACCATTTTGTTTTCACATTCGTATAGGCTCGCAGTACTATAGGCTAAAAAAAAAGCCCTTTTATTGGCGTAAATGTTTTTCCTAGTAGGAGTAGGAGTAAGGTCACACTAGATAAGTGACACCAGAACAATTAGCTCCACAAAAAAAAAAAAGTAATACTCTTTGAAGTCTTTATTGAAGATCTTTATTTTTCAATCTATACTCATTTATCAGGCAAGTCTTACAAGTATATATGTGTCTCAATAGACCACCCAAGTGGAGCAGTATGTAATAAAAATAAAGGTTAATTACTTCCCTTATATTCTAGGTTGTAACAAAGAATTCCTCAAATCCTCACAAATAAATACAAAATACAAGATACACCTAGAAAAAACAAAAGCAAAGAACAATTGTAGGGAAACACCGTTAAATAGAGTGGTCCCTACTATAAATATTGCACTCACAAGATGGAGTAATTCAAGCCCATCAAGGTTTTTTTTAGGTCTTGTAAAGAAGTTCCTTATTTCTCAAGCGTACATGTAAAAAGAAAAACTGAACATAGTATAGAACTGTTGATGTTATAAAAAACACAATTTATTGGAAACACTTACAAGAAGTGGAAAATAAAAATGCCCATCAAATATCTGTGTCCCTCTTTCCAAGATGGTAAATGGAAGCAGCAGGTGACAGGAATCACAGGCAATGATACAAACAGCTCTACGCGTTTCGTCTATACAATAGACTTCATCAGGAGAAATTCAGTAAAAACAAATGTTACAAACAAATGTTACAATCAAATAAAATAAATCACAGTAAAAGTATCATATGTTCAGTCTTCTTTTAAATGTCCCTCTCGCCGTATTCAGCTTCTCATCAACCAATCCGTGTGCTTGATGTCACCTGTTCTGTGTAATCTAAAATCCAGGTCCATATAAGGACTTCTGCCGAGCCTCTGTGGAACGCACATGCGTTCCACCAATCCGGAAAACTAACCTCCTTCTTATTGTCTCATCCCTCATGCACATGCGTCATCCCCCATGCACATGCACTCCACCTGATCGACTCGCAGCACCAGGGGGGACCGGTCAGAGAAAGAGAAATGAAAAAAGTACACACATGTATTAAGTTAATGTGATGACTCACACAATGGTATTACCTCATGTATAAAACGGAATCATACGTATTGAAATATAGAAATCAATACATGAAAAATATTAGTGTATATCAAGCTCCACTAACACCATAGAATAAAGGCAAATTACAGGATATAAAAAGTTATTGTTACACTTATAATCATTAAAGGGAGCGATCCTGGAGTGCACACATAAATGAGTACAAAATAATTCAAATAACAGTCAAGCAAATATAAATAGAACAAATATATATGAAAAATATATGAAAATATAAAAATATATAAAAAGTAAAAAAAGAGAAAAAAATTAATAAAAAATTAAAGAAAAAAAATAATTAAAAAATTAAAGAAAACAAATTAAATCAAACTCAGCATTCAACCCATAAGGTTGAAGAGTTTTTAATTTGTGGATCCAGAATCCTTCTCTTTGTCTCAATCTCATAATAATGTCTCCTCCCCTTACACCAAGAGATACTTGTTCTATAATCACCCATGAAAAGTTATGAATTTGAAATTGAGGACACTGATTGCAATGAACTGGAATAGAATGATTCTTGAAATTTCGTATGATGTTATTTTTATGCTCTAAAAAGCAAATTTTAGCCTTTTTTCCCCGTTCTCCCCATATTCTGTGCACCGCACCCACATGTGAGGAGGTACACAACATGTGAGGAAGAACAGGTGACCTGTCTTTGGATTGGTGATAAAACTTGAAAAAGAGCGTGTGTAGGATGGTAGTCCTCTACATGCTTTGCATGTTCCACAGGTATAGAATCCTCTACTGCCTTCCGACTCATTCTTGTTCTTACTTTGACAATGACTGGGTGCTAGATATGAAGAGAAACTTTTCCCTTTCCTGTACACGATTTGGAGATGTATTGGTAATTGAGGGCCTATGGATTCATCATATCTCAGAATATTCCAATGTTTTCTAAAGATTTTGTTAATGGCAATTATATTTAGTATGAAATGAAAACTCAAAAGCTTTACTAGAGTTTTTGATAGGTTTAGTTTTATCAACCAAAAGATCTCCTCTTTTAATATCTTTCACTCTCTCTATCTCTCTATTTAATAATTCTCTTTTATAACCCTTCTCAATAAATTTTTTAGTCAAAATGTCGGCTTGTTCTAGATAAATATCCTTATTAGAACAATTTCGTCGGAATCGGGTATACTGGCTTCTGGGTACTCCCGACAACCATCTAGGATGGTGTCCACTAGTGGATTCAATACAACTATTAGTATCGGTAGGTTTGAAATATGTTTTGGTGTAGATGTGACACCCTTGTACTGAAATGGTTAGATCCAAAAAATCCTATAGAGGTAGAGCTGTACGTGGGGGAGAAGACAAGTGAAAAGATGTTATCATTAAGATACCTGAAGAAGTCTAACAGATGTTCTTCAGACCCCTTCCAAATTACAAGGATGTCGTCAATATAACGATCCCAGAGCACCAGGTCTGCCCCGTTTGGATTATGGTCCCAAATGAATTGGCGTTCCCAAAAATCCATAAAGATATTAGCATAACTCGGGGCAAACCTAGTGCCCATGGTAGTACCCTTGATCTGCAAGAAGTATTCATCATTGAACATAAAGAAATTGTGGGTTAATATAAATTGGATTGCCTCAAGCAAAAACTGGACAAATCCCTGATTAAGTGTGGTGTCCCTATCTAGGTTGTCCTTAACGGCTGATAGGCCGAGTCGGTGATAGATAACTGTGTATAGGGATCCCACATCTAAAGATGCCCACATATATCCTTCCTGCCACTCGATAGAATCCAATTCCTGAAGAAGATGTTTGGTATTTTTTAAGTAAGATAAAGATAATTGGGCATATGGTTGTAAAAAATGGTCAATAAATTTAGATAAATTAGAAGTAAGTGAATTAATTCCACTTATGATGGGTCTACCAGACGGGTTAAAGTCTTACAAGTATTGAGACTGCAGAGCACTGTCATTAGCTTGATTTCACTAACACTCAGTAGGAGCACTTCCAGTGCTCCTATTGAGCATTCAAACTACAGGAAAGATATCCCCACCTTCCGTGAACAGTCTGCGTCTCAATGGGATTACAGGAAAGTTTTCTATGCATCAGGTTTTCATTTATTTATTTTTGCACATTTTAATTCATACAGTTTGGTTGAGATATGATTATTTTTTATTTTTTTTTAATTTTTTTTTTAATTTTGCCTTTTTTGGTCAAAGCATGAAGTTTGAAAAAAGATCTTCAATCAAGTCTTCAGATGGTAGTTTATTTATTTTGCAGGATTTCTTTGTTTATTTAGATGCATTCCCACCTCGTCACTGTTGTTAGTTTGAAGAGGTAGGAATATATTTTTGGCAGTGGCTAAGAGCTTGGGGACCTTTCATTTTTTGGGCCCGGAACACTGGGTATCTCATGAGTCCTCTAGGGCCAGAATTATTAGAAGTGGTTTATTGTTAATGGGGGTTAGATTAACCTCTTCAGGGCATATCCTGAGCTCATATAGGAAAATAACCTCTTAATGGCAGATCTTTTGCCCATATTAATACGGGGCCATAGGCATCTCCTAGGCTCAGTCATGTTATTCTACAATCCACAGACTATGAGGTGGAGAAAGATGAGTCCACTCACTATCTTCTTCAGTTCTTTTGAGGAAAAGTCCCAGGGGACCTAATGTTTTGTTTAAATTGTTTATTTTTATTTAGGCATTTTGTGACCCAGCAGTGACATTGCTAGACAGCTCATTGCCTTTAACCCCTTAGGGCACATGACATGTGTGACATGTCATGATTCCCTTTTATTCCAGAAGTTTGGTCCTTAAGGGATTAAAGGGACACTATAGTCACCATAACAACTACATCTTATTGTATTTGTTCTAGTGAGTATAATAATTCCCTTCAGGCTTTTTGCAGTAAACACGGTCTTTTCAGTAAAAATGCAGTGTTTACATTACAGCCTAGGGATACCTCCACTGGCCACTCCTCAGCTGGCTACTAGAGGAGCTTTCTGGGGCAGTGCTGACATTCAGTGTCTCCACCCTCCGCATGGAGACACTGAACTTTCCTCATAGAAATGCATTGATTCGGGGGCGGGCCTGACCGCAGAGCCAAGCATATGAGTGTATCTGCAGCTCCTACACCGTAGAGACCTGATCAATCCTGACGCACAATCGACGGGGGAACTTGAGACCTACCTAAAGATACCACATGTGTGGTCTCTGGGTCAGCTCCAGCGAGGGAGAGGCAGCTGCTCTCCCACAACCACAATATGCAGCTTACTAAAAAAACTGGGTCCCTGTTCCCCCACAGCAACACTGGCCCCTGCAGCAATCTCTAGCCCAAGCGAGACAGACAGCGGGTTCTCTCACTATTAAACTAGTTTTTAACATGTTAAACATATATCTGCAGGGGGGCGGGGCCTGACAACCAAGATGGCCGGACGTGCTCTCTAAGAGCTCCTGCACCGGAGGGCACAAAAATGCCAATACTAACAAGCTTAACCGAGCCAACGGCCCATGGTGCTCAGAAAACAATACAGAACCTCACTGAGACCAAAACGGTACTAATCAAGCATCGAAACGATTCACGAGCACATGACCCGGCCATGCGGCCTACACTGAAGCGCAGCCTAGGGCCTGGGGGAAACAGCCGATCGCCCGGCACGGGATCCGCTCATAAGCATGGCTTGCACAATGCCCAGCTACCCCCCCCTCTGGACCGGCGGGGGATATCCCGGTCCTCGCTGGGGACGGTTACCCCCACAATGCGACACAAACAAACGACAACACTTGATAGCACCCGGGGCAGTCTGGGCCCACGCAAGATGGCGCCTCAGACACGACCTGTAACAAACAGTGTCCCGGCCATGCCACCCACTCACACGCAAGAATTCTATGACCGGCTAAGCACCAGCCTATGGAATAAGCTAAGCACCAGGAGATGGATCTACAGGCTAGTGACTAAAGAAGCAACAGCGTGGATTCGCCCTGCCACCCGACGCCTCCTATGCGGAACCCACCCAGAGCCCCCAGAGCGGCCCTCAGACAGAAACGAGGAAGCAGGCCAGGGCGGCGGGACAAGGAGGCAGGCCTCACGGGCGACAACACTGGCCCACACGCACACCAGCACAGGACCACCAAGCACACTCGATCCACTTACTTCTCAGCGGCATTCAAAGCCTCCGACCACAGCAACACATCCCCGCAACCCAGGAGCCACGCCGACAGCAGTGACGCTAACCGGTGAACAACACAGCCACCCACCAGGGACAAACAGGGATGGAGAGCTCTCCTAAAAGATGGAGCCCCACTAAGGTACCCACCACATCAGCGCTCCGGTCCCACCTGCCAACACTTCAGAGCCGGTGTCGGCTGATTAAAGCGGAATGCCTCAGAGACAATCTGTGCCCCTGCAGACCCTACAGTAGAGTCACTGCAAGATCCCACCGCACAGTCTGTTTCACAATACAGCCAGAACTGGCCCCATTAACTCACAACAGAGACACTACTAACAGCACTATCTTTTAGTTGCCCACAACAGCAGTGGAGCGAGCAATATTATATACTAACCCAGGCAATTAGCTCGCTAAACACAGCTCAAATACCACCTACTTATTCAATGCAACTGTTTCTTCATGCATGCCAGTAATACCCTTTTCAAAATGTGCAGACTCTACTAACTGCTCTAAAGTGTTATATCTAGGAACCCACTCGATAACTTAAACGTGTACCTTCCAGCGATGTTAATTTGTGTTATGTTAAGTTAAGAAAACATATATGCAAAGTTAATCTGTATTGTTTATAGCCACACAAAAATGTACCTGACCTACCAAGTACCTATGCGTTATACTGCGCTAGAGGACTGCCTTTGGGGTACCTCACAAGCGAAGGTTGTAAACCTATGCACTTCAAAAATAAGCTGTAACTGATGTTGTCTAACTGATGTTATCTAGCATAGCCTATAATCCAACATACTTAAGCCATACTAATTTCTAGCTAGCTCCATGTTAATAGTGAGCATGTTCGCTAATCCCTTTCAGTTTGTATAGCCTGTGTTTAACGGTTTACAGCGAAAACCTACTCAGCTAAGCTAGAAAAAGATAATACTTAAATTCCAATTGTTATGTTTAAACGTCATGTCATCTAATAAAAAAAATTCTACATCCTCATCGTCTAAAGAAACGACTTAGACATGCCATTATTGCAGGTACTTACAGCGTGTATTAAGTACACAGCAAACAGAATATGGTACCTGAATGTAATCTTATCTAGGAGTCTTCATTATCAGGAAACGCGCATTGTCTAGCAAATACTATACCTGTTATCCACCTATAGTCTAAATTTGTTAATATATTATAAAATGAGGTTGATAATCCTAGGAGATTTCTGTAATCTGTTATAGTGACCCTAATCTGTACAACTCTTGCAAGTCTCCCTCTCTCTTTTTTCTGTACCACCATAATCACATGCCTCAATAAAATAAAGAATTTAAAAAAAAACAAAAAAAAAACATATATCTGCATACCTGACAATCTTGCCTACGTTCTAGGACGGGTGTGTTTGCATGAAAGGGGTGGTTCTGCCTGCAAGGATGGTGCCCAGGCTGACTGAAACTCTGCCCCCTGGAGGCAGCCACGCATGGAATCCAAAATTCTTAATTTAATGCTCAGTTGTCAAAGCAACACAGATTTCATAGCCAAGTTCTCTAGCTCTTATATTTACAGCAAGTTGATATCAAAATCAAAATGGCCCCCACAATCACCTTCAAAGTGTCCTAGAATTGTTTGGCCAAATCAACTGCTGCTTGAAACTATATCTTATTGATTTATTTGTATTTAAGAGAGCTGATCAGTTCTCTCAAGTTAAAAGTGCTGATCATGTGTTATGACATGGTAAGGTGTTACTGCCTTACAGGTTTTTTATTGTATTGGTTTGGTTTTTTGGCTAGTTATTGCAGCAATCAGGTGTGAATGTTTGCAGCTATAATTTACAGACTCCTGCTATCTCCTTAGCACTTATTTCAGTATTTCTGGTGGCTAAGCTCGGTTATGCTCTGAAGTCCGCATGCGAGCTGTGTTAGTAAATAAAATGTATTTTTAGATTGACTTCTAAATGTACCTGAATTCAGCAGCATCTTTATCCCCTAGAAAATAGTGATGTAAGAGTTAAATCTGGCCTCTGTAAAACCATTGCATTATATACAATATATGTGTGTGTATACGTATATTTTGTGCATGTGCTTAGAGTCTGGATAATGGGCAGAACTTTGCAGTTGTTGAAGAGACCCTATAGTCACCAGAACCACTTCAGCTTAACGTTTTCAAAGACAAGGTGATGTTTACATTGCTGCCTAGTAACACCTCTAGCGGCTGTCACTCAGCAGTTGCTGAAAATTCCCTATAGAGATTCAATGATTCAATGCATCTCTACGTTATGGCAGGCTTATGCAATGTGTGATCATATACTGTAACTAAACCCCCGTTGTTGTTTGGCTAGGTGAGTTGTTTTTAAATAAAACTATTACATTCTGTGAGACTTGAAATTGCTGTTTGGTAAATGAGTGAGTGCACTGGATCTTGTATGTTGTATGATTGGCCCCAGCAGAACCCTTTAATGTATGCATGTCCAGGTGAGTGCAGCCTCTTGGTTTCATATGAGGAGCTACATTTTGCCACGCATGCACAATAGACTCCCAATGCTTTCCTATGGGAAAGCATTAGGTTGGCTAAGATCATCAACATTGAGTCAAAGCCAGCTGCAGCAAGACTGGCGCGGTGTGGGAGAGAGGTTACCTTTAATTTACCTTTAAAATTACCTTTAATTTCTCGAGAGAGAGAGGAGCCAGGGATAATCCCCGGGATTAATCCTGCAATAGTGTCAAGAATACATGTTTCTATTCCTGACATTATAGTGTTCCTTTAACGTTCAACTTATTGAAGCCAGACACTCTGTTTAACAAAGACTGCCACCAAATGGACATTTCAGCGCTGCTACTCTCCAAATTGGTAATTATTGCAACTCATTAAAAACAAACTGTATCTTTTTCCAAGACACTGTCGTTTCAGAGAATCTAAATTTCCTACTAATCGGGAAATTTGCCCATGAGAGGAAGTGCTTCAAGCTGCCACATTATCCAAATAAAACACCTTTGTTACAGCATCACTGTGGCTAATTAACTCCCTTCAATGTGTCCTGTTTTAATTACAAGTTCATTTCATTGACAAAATATCCAGATTCCATTAATGCTGACAGTATTATTCTTGTTATTGTGCCCATAAAAGTCCTTGGGAGATAAATGTCTTTGGAGATACAATGTCAGTCGTATATTGTGATCTCTAGTGAGTCGGAAGTATATGTACTCTGATTATTTAAAAAAAAAAAAAAAAATTTTTTTGATTTATCATGCTCTTATTATAAATCATTTATAGGATTCAAATCCTTTTTACGGAGTGCTTGAGATGGGGGTAACAGACAGGAACCATTTTATTTATAGTCCTGTCTGTTTTTCTATATTAATATCCGGTGATCTCAAAAGACTGAAGACATAGACGTGTCCTCATATCCCCAAAGATGTCCAGTCCATGATGTAAAATCTTAAAACTGATTCCTAGAAGGCCTTAACCCCGTAGCATACGGTGTTTGGCCGCAGGGCCGAAAGGATATCTTGTTTCTGAGACCAAATAAAGACAGACATGCCTATCACTTACACCACTTACACATTAGGTTATGGTAAGGCAATTCAGAATTGTACTGGATTAGATCATATCTGCATGTGTTGAGGTGAAATCAGGATTTGTCTATTTGTGGAAAATGGTGTCTGGATGCAAGTCAATTTTCAGGTTAGTATGCCTCATTGTGTCTTGGGTATTATGTTTTCTGTGCCATTATATAGTACCGATACTTAAAAAAGCTGCTTATATCAATCATTTGTATACCTGATGAACAGTTAATATCCTTTGAAATGACACTCAACATACCAAAACAACGTTAGCTTAATGAATATATCATATACACTCTGCAGTCTCACTGCTAGGCCATCTAGGAGTTAAACCACTTTGTTTATGCAGCCCTACGCAGATCCCCCCCCCCCCTGTCATTAACTCCCTCTAGTCTATTTGTAAAAGTGGGGTGCCGGGGGTTGGACATGGGAATTGTTGGTTGAAACTGGTCTGTACCAACGCACTGACACAGACATATCTTTATGTTATGTTATCTTTATCTGTTCTTCTGTCTCCTGTGTTTGTTTATCTGAGCCTTTGATGAATTTCATCCATATCCTATGAGGCGGTTACTGGTCCCATCATGCTGCTTGTGACTGGAACACGGGTGAAGAGGTGATTTATTAATTCTAATCCATACTTGCCACTGTGCATGTAGGAGGCCTCTCTGACAGCCGCTTCTTGTTGATCTATGGTTCATCTTTAAGCTGGAGCTGTCACAGTAGCTCTTTCTTGGTGCTCAGATTCATGACTTTGAATAAAGGCAAGCTGAACTCAAGAGAACCCAACTTCACTTCTCTGGGGCGAAGTACATTATCACAGGGTTAAGAAATGTAAGGAAGCAGTTTACTGTTCCATATCAGCTTAGACCCTACAGGAAAATAAACTTTTACAGGTTGTATGATTTCTATATTATATCAACTCATACTCCATCATACTTCAGCTATAGAGCACACCCATCGCTGTTTATCCATATTGGTCGAAAGCATATTGTCTATCTACATACCTATCTCTGTTTATGCCTTGGTACATTGGCAGCCTGAAGTCATCCCCCTTGCCCAGAATGATTAAACCAGTGTTGGCTTGACTGGAGGTGGGCAAACTTATACATAAAGAGGAAATGGGTGGAGCAAAACATTTTTTTCTGTTCCTCTACCCCATCCCTTGGGAAAAAGACACACCCCCGAGGAGCAGCAATGAGTGTTGAGCTACTGGAGGAAGCTATGCTACTCCTTCTAATGAGCCTGTCCACTGAAGTAATTTACTATAAATTGCTTATTGGGAAATAAACAAAAAAGAGATGTCCAGCACTACTTATTGTGAAAAAGATTATATCCCTGTATTGGCAAAACAGCAAAGTTTTGACTGTGTGCCTTTATCAAGCAGTGTAAATTTACATTGTTTGATAAAGATACACAGTCGAAACGTTGCTTTTTTGCCAATGAAGGGATATAATTTTTTCACAATAAGAAATGCTGGACATCTTTTTTTGTTTATTTTCTGATATTTATCTGGGAAAGAGCCATTGCACCCTTAAGAATAATGAACGTAAGCGGTGTCTCATATCATTATTATTCATAAATTGCTTGTTAAATATATATTTAACTCTGGAGATCTGTACTTTAATCATTTATTTGAACTATGTAATTATAGTGCTCTTACGTCTCTCCCACAAACTCTCAAGTCAGACTGCGTTTTCACAAACAAGGTTTTGGAGACTAATGAGAATTGATAATGTTCAACTTGCTACATTATTTAGCATATCTGCCTGCTTATTCTCCTTTTTGTCTGTGCGACTTACTATATAAATACTAGTTGGGATTTTTTATTTTTTTTTATTTTCAAGACCAGCGAGTGTTAATTCACATTCTCCTATGGCTTTAGAAATATTCACAAACACGAACGTTGAGAAAAACACATTAAACGGAATCAATAAATAGTCACCATTTTCTCTCTTCAGTGTCTAATTGCCTACTACAAATTATGTTTCAGATCGTTACATCTTACTAAAAGCATCTACCGGGTCAGATTGACAATGCATCCAGCAGGTGCTGCAAGCATGGCCGTGCAGAGCTATGTGTCCCCTTCTGGCAGCCGAGGGGTAAATAATTTGCCCTCCACATGCTGTAAGGTAAGGGTTAGATGTAGCTTTGTGTAATAATGGCTGGAAGATTTACATTCATTTTATTATTACAAATTACAGCATTATCTTCTTACATCCTATAAGTCACATGTGTTAGACTGTGGACCCGCGGCTTTAGTGGATACAGTTCCTAAAAGTCAAAGCCAGTCACATGGCGTCTGAGCAATATTGTCTGCACCTTGCTGCATGAAACAGCCTTATGATTGAATATCTTAATTCTAGCAGCAGATAAAAAAAAGTACATGTTTAAATGTTGCCATAAAAATGGCAATATGGAAATGTCGATGGTGCTTAACGTCGCTACATTTATAAAAACGCAGAGGCATTAAACCACAGTTAACTGTGCAGCATTTGGAATGACACTGCTATCGACCAAGGATAGGGTAATTTTAGGGGCAGAGGGGAGGTTAGGGTAAGTTATGGTTGAAGGAGGTTAGAAATTATTAGGGTTGGGGGATTATGGCGGCAAGTTTATCATTGAAGGAGTTTAGGATAATGTAACAGTTGGAGAAGGATAGGGTAAACTTAAGGTTGGGGTGGTTAGGGTAATACGTTTGGGGGGTAACGGTAAGTTTAGGGTTACAGTTGGAGGTGGTTAGGATTTGCAACTGGTGGAGACTATGGCAAGGTTAGGTTGTTGGTTAAAGGAACACTATAGTCACCTTAATTACTTTAGCTAAATAAAGCAGTTTTAGTGTATAGATCATTCCCCTGCAATTTCACTGCTCAATTCACTGTCATTTTGGAGTTAAATCACTTTGTTTCTGTTTATGCAGCCCTAGCCACACCTCCCCTGGCTATGATCGACAGAGCCTGCATGAAAAAAAAACTGGTTTCACTTTCAAACAGATGTAATTTACCTTAAATAATTGTATCTCAATCTCTAAATTGAACTTTAATCACATACAGGAGGCTCTTGCAGGGTCTAGCAAGCTATTAACATAGCAGGGGATAAGAAAATCTTAATTAAACAGAACTTGCAATAAAGAAAGCCTAAATAGGGCTCTCTTTACAGGAAGTGTTTATGGAAGGCTGTGCAAGTCACATGCAGGGAGGTGTGACTAGGGTTCATAAACAAAGGGATTTAACTCCTAAATGGCAGAGGATTGAGCAGTGAGGCTGCAGGGGCATGTTCTATACACCAAAACTGCTTCATTAAGCTAAAGTTGTTCAGGTGACTATAGTGTCCCTTTAAGTTATGTTTAGGGGGAGGTTAGGTGAGTAGTTCGAGTAATGTATGGTTTGGGTATTAGGTAGGGTTAAGGGGAAGGCTATAGTAACCCTTACTTTATTATTAGAAGCTTTAATAAAATCAATGTTTAAGGTTTATGATCTTAGAGGCAAATAGAATTTTAGATTTATACAAATTTACACTGTATTCATGAAATTTTCATCTGTCACCAATTGAAGAGATTATGTTGCATTTTAAAGAAGAGTATTTTTGAAAGCAACACAAAAACACATCAGTTACTTCCAATATTTATATTGTTACTACAAGTTTGCCAGCGGTTATCCTTACTTGACTTCACTCAGATCCCAATTTGAGATAATTTCAGGGATTCAATGCTAGAACAAATTTAAACAGCTATATGAAATCCTTGTCATTAAGGTTTATGGGAAAATTAAAGGGATACTATAGGTATCAAACAACGTTAGCTTAACGAGGCAAGTTTTAGTGTATAGAGCCTGCAGTCTTTCTGTTTAGTTCTCTGCCCAATAGGAGTTAAATGGACACTAAAGTCACCAGAACAATAACCGCTTAATGTAGTTGTTCTAGTGAATATAGTCAGTCCCTGCAGGCTTTTTGCTGCAAACACTGCCTTTTCAGTGAAACGGTAGTGTGTCCATTGCTGCCTTGGGACACCTCCAGTGGCAATCACTCAGACGGCTACTAGAGTGTTCTGCCTCCCTACGATCTGCATTAAATGCATTTTTATGCATTCAATGCATCTCTATGGGGGGGGAGTGAGGTTGGGCACCTAAACTGCATTTTTAACACTATATACATGTATGTGTTCCTGACCCTATAGTGTTCCTTATAGTGGGGTATGTTTATATGTCAACCATGAGTTAAAGTCAAATCTTAGGCATGTGGAGTGTGACAAGGAAAATGTGGAGGCCTTATGGGTAGATATCTGCTTGGGGCAAACAAAGGGAAATCAATTATTGGTTGGGATATGTTATAAACCACCTAATGCAAATATTATTGAGGAAGAACAGCAAATTGAGAAAGCTGCATGTGACGGAACGCTGGCACTCCGACTGAGTACCTCCGCCAATCGATACTCCTAGTGCTCGCTGAGGACTCCAAGCACTCCAACCGACACCATCAGCACTGCAGACCCCACTTCCAGCGATGCAGCTGCGCCGGGGTCTCTGCTGTCTCCACCCACCCTGGACCCAAGGCCAGGATCCAGCTTCCAGTGGGTGAACCTCTCTTTCCCCAGAGAGCAGGAACAGGAACAAGCTCATAGCAGAACTTAGTGATCATACCCTGGGGAGTATAGTGATTATAGCAATCCCCAGAGTGTATTTCTCCAATCCCCCAAACATGAGCCAAGGCTTAATAATGGAACAAGACTGATTTACTGGCACACAGAATTCACAATTTATGCAACACAAAACTCCTCCTCTGGGCCAGGCTAGATAATTGAGTTTCTACAATACACAAAGCTCAATTATCTGCTGGCCAGAAATAATACAGTTTTTACAGCATTCATAACTTCTAAAATATACATCACATTCACATAAAAATATATTCACAATCAATCCATTCAGGGAAACAACATATCAAAAAATGGCATGAATCAGACCAGGGGTTCAGAAGTTAGTAAAGTATATTTTGGGGCCTGGCTGGCAGCATGGCTATCTGGCCCAAATTGGTTTTACAGAGCCCTCTAGCCTGGAGACAATGGGGAAAGTAATCCTATAATCCAGGGATAGAAGCAGACTCCATTGAGCACATGTTCCCAGTAAAACACAAAAGGATACAAAAATACATAACTCCTATCATTCTGAATTGAACGGGCCAAATCTCCTAGGGTCCATAGTCACAGGGCAAGAGGCAGGCACACACTGCATATTGAGGTAACACGTTAATTATTAGAGATTTTAATTACCCAGACATAAATTGGGATAGAGGGACTAGTACTTCAGCAAGGGGAATCAGGTTTTTGAATGTGTTAAATGACACCTTTATGTCACAACTGGTACAAGCACCAACTAGAAAGGATGCTTGTCTGGATCTCATTATAACAAACAATGTTGATCTTTTAACCAACATTCCAGTAGGGGAGCATTTGGGAAATAGTGATCACAATATGGTAAATTTTGAAATAAACTCAAAAAAGCAAAAGCAAGTGGGGTATACTAAAACCTATAATTTAAAAAAAGCCAATTTCAATAAGATTAGGGCAGCTCTACAACATATCGACTGGCATAAACTCCTTAGTGATAAAAACACTGAGGATAAATGGAAACTATTCAAACATATATTAGAAAGGTACATTTCCCAGTATGTACCATTGGGTAATAAATATAAAAGAAACAAATTAAAACCAATGTGGCTTAGTAGAGAAGTAAAACAAGAGATTAAAAATAAGAAAAAGGCATTTAAATCAGACAAATCAGAGGCATCCTATTTAAGATATAAGGATGCAATAATCAGCATGGTTTTATGAAACATAGGTCATGTCAAACTAACAATTGCATTCTACGAAGAAGTAAGTAGAAGTATAGATCAGGGTGTTGCAGTGGATGTGATCTACTTGGATTTTGCCAAGGCATTTGATACGGTTCCTCACAATAGGTTAGTCTTCAAACTAAAAGAAATTGGTCTAGATGAATATTCTTGTTCTTGGGTAGAACATTGGCTTAAGGATAGAGTACAACGAGTTGTAATTAATGGTACATTTTCAGGCTGGACAAAAGTGGTAAGTTATGTCCCTCAGGGTTCTGTTTTGGGACCACTTCTATTTAACATATTTATAAATGATCTTGAAATAGGCATTGAAAGCCATGTATCAGTGTTTGCAGATGACACAAAACTTTGTAAAGTAATAAAATGTGAGCAGGATATTGATTTGCTTCAGAGGGATTTAGATAGATTGGGGGACTGGGCACTAAAATGGCAGATGAAATTTAACATAGAGAAATGCAAAGTTATGCACTTCGGGGTTAAGAATACACAAGCAACTTACACACTAAATGGTAGTGAATTAGGGATAACCACACACGAGAAGGATTTGGGAATTGTTATAGACAACAAATTAGGCAGCAATATGCAATGTCAATCTGCAGTTGCTAAGGCCAGTAAGGTTTTGTCATGTATAAATAGGGGCATAAATTCTAGGGATGAAAATATAATTTTGCCTCTTTATAAATTGCTGGTAAGACCACACCTTGAATATGCTGTGCAATTTTGGGCACCTGTTCTAAAGAAAGATATCATGGCACTAGAAAAAGTCCAGAGACAAGCTACAAAATTGATAAAAGGAATGGAGCATTTTAGTTATGAAGAAAGGTTAAAAAAAATTAATCTGTTTAGTTTGGAAAAATGGCGCCTGAGAGGGGATATGATCACTTTATACAAATATTTTCGGGGCCAGTACAAACCTTTATCTGGAAATCTATTCATAAACAGGGCTATACATAGGACACAAGGTCACACATTTAGGCTGGAAGAAAGGAGATTTCATCTAAGGCAAAGAAAAGGTTTTTTTTACAGTAAGAGCAATAAGGATATGGAATTCTCTGCCTGAAGAGGTGGTTTTGTCAGAGTCATTACAGATGTTTAAACTGCAATTGGATAAATACTTGCAAAAATATAACATACAGGGATATAATTTCTAATTAGTGGGGTAATAGCTGCTTGATCCAAGGAGACATCTGACTGCTATTTTGGGGTCAAGAAGGATTTTTTTCCTAGTTTGTGGCAAAATTGGAAGCGCTTCAGACTAGGTTTTTTGCCTTCTTTTGGATCAACAGCAAAAACATATGTGAGGAAGGCTGAACTTGATGGACGCAAGTCTCTTTTCAGCTATGTAACTATGTATAGGTCTGTGTGTCAAGGTATGTATATGTGTCTGTGTATCTGCATGTGTGTCAGAGTGTGTATCTGTTTGTCAGTGTGTCTATGTGTTAGTGTGTGTATCTGTCAGGGTATGTGTCTATGTGTGTCAGTGTGTATGTATCTATGTGTCTGTGCATCTGCATGTGTGTCAGGGTGTGGATCTGTTTGTCGGGGTATGTATCCGTATGTGTGTTGGGGTATGTATATGTCTGTGTGTCGAGGTATGTATCTGTGTGTCAGTGTCTGTATCTGTATGAGTTTATCTGCATGTGTCTGTGTCTTTATCTGTATGTCTGTGTGTCAGTGTGGGCATCTGGGTATGTGTGTCGTGTATCTATATGTGTGTCAGGGTATGTATCTGTGTGTCAGGGTATGTATCTCTGTACAACTGCATGTGTGTCTGTGCATCTGCCTGTGTGTCAACGTGCTTATCTGTGTGTCAGTGTATGTATCCGTGTGTCAGGGTACAGTCAGGGACATATTAGCCTTGAGCGGCATTTTCCAGGGGGCAGCTAAAAAAGCCTCCCCAAATGCCCAGGGCAAATGTCTTATTAGCCTTGCGGCTAACAGTCCAGGCAGGCGGGCGGCTAAGTAAAAATCCGTGCGGGTGGCGTATATTCCAGCTCCCGGCATCATTCTGCGGCGCCTGAGTTTTGTCATGCCTAGGGCAGCACAAAACCAGGATACACCACTGGGTACAGTGAGGGGAAAAAAAGTATTTGATCCCCTGCGGATTTTGAACGTTTGTCCAGTGACAAAGAAATGATCAGTCAAACATTAATGGTAGGTGTATTTTAACAGTGGGAGACAGAATAACAATCCAGAAAAATGCATGTCAAAAAAGTTATAAATTGATTTGCATGTCAATGAGTGAAATAAGTATTTGATCCCCTATCAATCAGCAAGATTTCTTGCTCCCAGGTGTCTTTTATGCAGGTAACGAGCTGAGATTAGGAGCACTCTCTTAAAGGGAGTGCTCCTAATCTCAGTTTGTTACCTGTATAAAAGACA